TATATATTTTTTATATATATATATATATATATATATATATATATATATATAAAGGTGATGCACATGATTTTTTTAAGACAATTTTATCTATAAATTTTTAGATAATAAAAAATAGGCTAAATTGCATTTTTAATTTCTCTAATTTTGTCAATCCATAATTTTGATCTTTTATTTTAAAATAGAGACATTTAGTCCCTTATTTTTAAAAATATAAAATTTTGATCCTATTTTTAATTTGATATTCATTAATTATTAAATTTTGATGTTATTTAATGATGAATTATCATTTAAGTAATATAATATTTAACAATGTAACAAATATGAATAAAAAATAAAAGATAATATACAAAAGATTTTTATTTGTATTTATTTTTAAGAATTATTGATGTTTATTTTATCCTACTTTTATATTAAATTTTTTTATTTTTAAATGTCATATGTTATAAATATAAATATGAGTAACTCTTAAAATTTAATGATTAGTAGATGTTAATTTGACAAGAGAACAAAATTTCATATTTTTAAAATTAAAAGGATTAAATATCTTTATTTTATTTTAAATAGGCCAAAATTATAAATTAATAAAAATAAAAGGATCAAAAGTGCAATTTAACCTAAAATATAATATTAAAAATTAATTATCCTTACAAACATAATATTTGAACATAAAACTTTAAGATTTAAAGACCAAACACAATATTAGTTAATTTAATAAATATTGATAATTTTATATATATATTAAATTGAATATAAAGACACAAAGTACCTTGATTTCTCTGGTATATATAATATTTATTGTAAAATTAATTCACATTTCTTTGATATATTATTTTGAGATACTTAATACTTATTAAAAATTTTGTTACATGTATAATTTTATCCGATGACATTATCTTTGTTCTTATAATATTGTTTGGATCCTTTAAGGGCTTGTGTGATCGATACTTGAATTATATATGTCTTTATTGTAAAATTAATTCATATCTCTTTGATTTTTATTTTTTTATATGTACGAATGACAATAACATCAACAAAATTTAAATATAGTACTTTGTACATAGTACTATTGTAGCTTTCATTATATAAACTAATCTCAAAGGTTATAGTCTGCACTGTATTTAAAGTTAGGGGTATTTATGGATCGATTTTTTAAAAAAATCGATCTAAATTGAACCGAACCGTTTTATAAAAATGGATCAGTTAACCGATCCATTTTTTATAAAGTGGATCGGTTTGCTTTTTTTAAAATATGGATCGGTTTTTTTGAAATTGGATCAGTTCGGTGCGGTACAGTTATCCATTTTTTTACTCATATATGAATCGGTTTTTTTTAGAAAATTAAGCCGAACCGAACCGATCCACTTTGTAAAAATGGATCGGATAACTGAACCAGTTTTATAAAGTGGTTCGGTTCGGATTTTTTTTTAAATAGATCGGATTTTTCAATATAGATCGGATCGGTTCGGATCAATTTGGATTTTTTGCACACCCATATTTAACGTATTAAATAAAAATGAAAATGTGAGAAAAATTAATGTTCATGTAATAAACTCGGTTTGTATTTTTTTTTATTAACTAGGCAGTGGTAATAAATTTACCAAACAATAAATGAAGAGTTCTTATTATGTATTTATTGTTTCTTTCACTTCATGTTTTGTCCTCTTCATTTCTCATATATCATATTTATTACTTTCTCTCTCACTTGTTCTTTTTTTTCTCTCGATCTATCCTTTTCTTCATTCCACTTATACACCCAAAAAATGAGATATATGATTAGCATTCCAATAATAAATCCAAAGCACTGGGGAAACAAACTTAAAAGAAGAGGCTGCTGGCTTACATAAACTAACTCTAATCAGCACATGATTTTAAACTTGAAAACCCTCAAGGATTAAACTTTGCATTAATTGGCTATATGAAATGTACATTAGTACCTACTTTTTTTTTTTTTATCATGACATTATTACGTACCTAAATGCTGAGTAACCTAAAAAGTACATTCAGTACTCATCAGTGATATCTTTTTTAAGAAAAAAAAGTTATATGTAAGTTGATATAGGGAAATAGATTACAATGATGTCATTTTAGTAGATAAATTATTGACCTACTTCCGGTGAACATTGCTGTGAAACAAATACACAGCACACTCAATCTTATATATATTATTATAATTTATTTCGTTTTTGTTTTAATAAATCCGAAATGGTCTAAAACTTGTTTATCTAAGCAATTTATTTTCCTTGTACAATATAATTAAAAATAAAAAAGGGAAGGATAATAAGAAGAAGAAAAATGAGCATACAATGTGAAATGGTTTTTGCTGGCGTTAGGCTAACGTGGTGATGATGTCAGAGTGAATACGTGAACCATGGGAATAACATATTGTATAATGCACAGTGGCCTTGGTTTGTTAATGATATTGATTTAAAATAACGATGCTTTTTCTTTTTTGGTTTGAGCCCTAAGTAAGCTGGAGAAAAAGCATAGGGGTGGCAAACATACATCATTTCTTTTTGTCTCTGCTTATAGGTGGCCATTATGGCTTTCAAATTACCCCCTATTAATCTATATATACCCTTCAGCACCTCACTTTTTTATTTTTTTCCTTTTTCTATTTAACATATTTATGGACGGATTATGTTGCTAAAACCCTAAGGCACTATCACTAATATATTGAGACCGTTAGCAGAGGTTCA